CACACACACACACACACACACACACACACACACACACACACACCCTGCCGTTCTTTGTTCATCGTGGGAAAATGTTTACAGAAACTAATTAGAGCTGCTGAAGGCTGAGAGGCTCCATTGATGCTGACCCTGGTCTCTTTGTACCCCCCACCCCCGGTTTCTGTGTCGTCGTCCCCCCCCCTGCAGGTCTCTGGGAAACAGTCGGACCGAACGGGAACGATCCGGAAACACGGAGCCTCGGTCAGGTTGGTTCTGCTGCTTCTCAGCTTCTTCTTTCAGTCTGTGGCAGGAAGTCTGCCAGTCTCATGTGAGTCTGTTTCAGGTCCAACAAAAGCCTGGAGCCCATTCAGTGCCCTGTGGTGCCCCCTGCTGGCGGGTAGGAGCTGGTTTCACCTCTGCACACTAAGATAAAAAACAAAAACTGAAATGATTTCTKCAGTAAACCTGGATTAAATAAATTTAATAAAATAAATAACAGAATATTTCATTCATTCTATAAGAAACTAGACTTCTTTTACTCTCATACTTCTGTTTTCAGTTCCAGCTTTGGAAAACCTGTAGCTCCGCCCACCATCCCCACCACCTGGCAGACCCCACCTGAGTGTGACATCATCACCACGCTGCTGGACGATGCCTTGCCGCCTCCTCTGCCAGCGGATGTTTTGGCTCAGGGTGACTGCGTCATCAACGCGTCTGCCCTGCCCCCTCCGCCTCCTCTCTTTGGTTTGTCTGCAGGAGCTCCGCCTCCTCCACCTCCTCCACCTCCTCCACCTCCCCCTGGTTCGCTGGGAGAAGGAGAGGTCCTGTGCCCTCCACCTCCTCCCCCTGGTCTGTCAGGAGAGATGGCGGCTCTGCCACCTCCACCTCCACCTCCTCCAGGTATGTCGAAAGGGACGGTGACTCCGCCCCCTCCACCTCCTCCACCCCCAGCTTCAGGGGCTCTGACCAATCACAGCACTCCGCCTCCGGCTCCTCCTCCCATGGCACCACTCAGTCTGGAAACAGGTGACGATTTAAAAAATATGCAAAATTCTGAGTTAGTTAATCCAGTTTTAATAAACCTGTTTTTACCTGATCAGGTTTGATCCTGAACTTTTTTCCTTTTTGTTCTGAGAATCGAGCCTGAGAGCATGTTCAGATCAGTAAAACCTGAATTAATAAATCCTTAACTTTAGTTTAACTAGGTAAGGCTTAATTAAACCAAGTTAGGTTTAGTTAAACCAGGTTGTTTTGTTAAACCAGGTTAGGTTTAGTTAAACCAAGTTAAGTTTAGTTAAACCAGGTTGTTTTGTTAAACCAGGTTGTTTTGTTAAACCAGGTTAGGTTTAGTTAAACCAAGTTGAGTTTAGTTGAACCAGGTTAGATTTATGTAAACTAAGTTAAGATTGGTTTAACCAGGTTAGGTTTAGTTAAACTTGGCTAGGTTTAGTTAACCAGGTTAAGTGTAGTTAAACTAAGTTAGGTTTAGATAAACCAGATTACAATTGGTTAAACCAGGTTAGGTTTATTTAAACTAGGTTAAGATTGGTTAAACTAGGTTAGATTTCTGCAAACCAGGTTAAGATTGGTTTAACCAGGTTAGGTTTAGTTAAAAACTGTTAGGTTTAGCTAAGCCAGGTTATGCTTAGTCAAATCAGATTAAGGCTGATAAACCAGGTCAATATTGGTTAGACCAGGTTAGATTTGGTTAAACCAGGTTAATATTAGTTAAAGCAGCTTAAGTTTAGTTAAATCAGTTTAGGTTTTATTTAAACAAGTTTAAGTTTAGTTAAACCAGATTAAAGGTGGTTAAACCCTGTTAAGTTTAGTTAAATCAAGTTAGGTTTAGTTAACCAGGTTAAGTGTAGTTAAACCAAGTTAGGTTTAGATAAACCAGGTTACAATAGATTAACCCAGGTTAGGTTCATTTAAACTAGGTTAAGATTGGTTAAACCAGGTTAGGTTTATGTGAAACATGTTAAGATTGCTTTAACCATGTAAGGTTTAGTTAAACCAGGTTAAGTTTAGTTAAATCAGCTTAGGTTTAGTTAAACCAGGTTAAAGGTGGTTAAACCTGGTTATGATTAGTTAAGTCAGGTTAAGGCTGATGAAACCAGGTTAAGACTGGTTAGACCAGTTTGCTTGGTTAAATCAAGTTGAGTTTAGTTAAACTAGGTTAATTTGGGTAAATCTTTGTAAACAGGAAGTTAAACAGCAGATGTGTTTTGTTTGAAACTAGTGTTCTTTCTTCTGATTGGTCTGACTGTGTGACGTCACTATGACATCACTTCCCTTCTCTCCCTTCAGTGGTGGAGGAGAACAGCTTTTCCCATCCCTCCCCTCCTCCTCCCCCACCTCTCGCTGACGACGACGGCTTCCCACCGTTACCCACTGATGGCTCAGAGCTGCCGGCCCCGCCCCCTCCACCCGCCCAGGAAATAGACGGTACCAGTCCACGTTTTATTTTTTATTGTTTTCACACTGTTTTTATTCTTTAACTGAAGAAATCATACATGTTTCTAAAACGTAGAGGGTCAGAAGTTGATCCTGACAGGTTCTCTTGTTTTTTAATGTTTAATGTAAAAACTTTAAACAGCAGGGGGCGCTGCAGAGCAGCTGCTCAAACCAAACAGCAGGTTTCCAACAAACCTGTCAGGGTGTGAGGACAGGTCCAGACTCAGGTTTAGGTCCAGACTCAGGTTTAGGTCCAGACTCGGGTTCAGGTCCAGACTCGGGTTAGGACAATCCAAAACTTTTATTCTCTTCAACAGAGCTGCTGTTTTACTGTTTGGGATGAAAAATAAAAATCATCTTCAACTTTCTCTCAAACACTTGAAGGTTTTTAGGCCCCAAAAAACAAGTTTTTYGTTTTTCCAGTCTCTGCTTCTTCTACACTGTTGTCTTCGGTCGGTCCTCCTCTGTGAAGTTTCTTCAGTTTCTTCTTCTTCAGTGTTTTATTTTCCAATCACTTCTTCTGTGGTGTTTTTCAGTCACTTCTTCTTCTGTGGTGTTTTTTCAGTGACACTCCTGTCTAGGAGGAGTCGCCACCGGCGCTCACCTCCCACCTCTCGCTCTGTGTCTATGAGGGTCCGCTCAGGCCCTGCCTCCCGCTGCCGCTACACTCGCTCCCTCTTCCTGCCTGCTGTCCAATCACGTAAGCCGCTGCAGGGCCTGTCGTCCAATAGGAAGTCTGGAGAGACGATGATGAGTTAAAGACAGATCTTTTCTCATTACTGACTCAGTTTCTGTCTGTCTGTCAGTCATGATCCCCCCTCCTCCCCCGTACCCTCCCCCCTGTGCCCCTCAGAACCCCCCCTCCTCCCCCTCACCTCGGCTCTGCTTACCTGCTCGTCTCGAACACCTGGGTAAGGAAACAGGCCCGTAGCTGCAGATGTAGCACCGCCTCATGGTAGACTCTTAGYAGAGGTAGTCCTCGTCTCATACTACAGTAGTACATCAGAGGTAGTTGAAGCTCCGCCTCCTCAGACACGATTGGTCCGGTACAGCTGTCAGTCACTGCACATGTGCTCTCTTAGATCTGGAGATCCTAGCCCCGCCTCCTCCTCTGTCATTGGAAGATGTCAGGGGCTTTGATGACCTCATGCCACCACTTCCTCCTCCAGTGGACTACGACACCGACGCCCCCGCCGACTACCTGGAGAAAGGTACGAGTCCTCCTGCTGTCCTGCAGCGAAACAATGTGTTCTTTACAGCAGTACTTCCTGTTTGTGTCCAGTGGTGGCGCTGTACAGCTACGAGGCCTCCAAGCCCGATGACCTGTCTTTCAACGAGGGCGACGTCATCTACCTGATGCGCCGCCAAGACAACGGCTGGTGTGAAGGCGTGTCCAAGGGCAAGCAGGGCTTCTTCCCGATGAACTACGTTCAGTCCTCTGGCTGAATGAGGCCACGCCCTTTTGTTAGTGTGATATATACACAGTATATATATATATATATAGGTTTTCCAGCTGTAATAATCATAGATTTAAAGGTAAATGTCACCTGGAAGCAGCAAATATCTATAAGGCTGTAAATAATACAAATAAAATTTGTTTCACGAAGAACTCCTCTGCTGCTCTGCGTCTGTTTCACCTCCACACTCCGGGGTTTTCCTGGTCGGTTTCCTCTGGTTCCTTCCAGACTAGGGCTGCCACGGTGAGTTGACTAGTCACGATTATGTCAACTATTAAAATCGTCAACGTCTAATTTAATAGTCCATGCGTAGTTTTTTTTTCTAACTTTGTATTTTTTTATAGTCCACTAATCAACTAGTCAAATACATATCTGAACACAGGTGTTACTGTTGTCTCTAATTCTGCAGCTGTGAACATCTGGATGTTCCTGTTCACTCAGTCAAACTGTAGATTTAACCTCACGTTTCACACACTTCCTGACTGTTTTTAGCTGCAGGTTTAAATCACTTTAGCAATTTATTATTATTATTATTCTTATTTTATTTTATTTTATTTTATTTTATTTTATTT